GTAATCCTTCAAGGGGAATTTATGGCTGTAAATGCCTGCACTAAGAATAAAATCTTGCCGGGTGTTGGTGGCACATGCCTTTAATCCCAGCACTCGGGAGGCAGAGGCAGGCGGATCTCTGTGAGTTCAAGACCAGCCTGGTCTCCAGAGCGAGTGCCAGGATAGGCTCCAAAGCTACAAAGAGAAACCCTGTCTCGAAAAACCAAAACCAAACCAAAACAAACAAACAAACAAAAGAATAAAATCTCGGGCTGCAAAGATGACTCAGGGGTAAAGAGCACTGGCTGCTCTTCTAGAGATCCTGAGTTCAATTCCCAGCAACCGCATGGTAGCTCACAACCATCCATAGTGAGATCTGGTGCCCTCTTCTGGCCTCCAGGGATAAATGCAGACAAAACAATGTATACATAATAAATAAATTTTTTAAAAAAGAATAAAATCTCATCTACAACAACAACAAAAAACCACCCAAACCACCTTACATCAGTGCAACTCTAAGGCATGTAAGACAAAATTAAATTTACATTAGAAGAAACAGTAAAGTTTAGAGTGGAAATCAATGAAGCTGAGGATGGAAAACCAACAAATCTGAAAGTTGATTCTTTAAAACAATTCACAAGAATTGCCCACTTTTTAGCTGATTAAAAAAAGAAGAAAAAGAAAAAAACTCAAATGGCTAAAACCAAGAGTAAGGCAGTGGCCATCACCTGTTAACACTAGAGAGCACAAGAAAGGTGCACTAGAATGAGGTTGCCAGCTTTTCCAGAGTCAAAATGAACACAGCCTTCTCATTCTAGCACCCACTGGGCTATGGGAAAGACACACTGAAAAAGCTAACAAAGGAATTACCGAAATGTCCGCACTTACTAGTCTTTTCAATTGTTGAACTTTATTTAGCATGGACGACTGCCTAACCAAGAAGTTCCCATCTCCATAGGAGGAAAGAAATTGGTGCTAACAGACTACAGAGAGCCAGAAGAAAAACAGTAACAGTAACAGTGTTCTACAGAACACTGGCACAAACATCTATAAAAGTGACATCCTATTGATCATTTCAAGAATAGCAGCAATTGAAACCATGGCCGGCTCAGGCCAGTGTTGATGATGCAGATGATGCAGTTCAGCCTGTCTGAGAATGATGGAAACTCTGGTCTTTCTGTTCTTGGCACTTTGGGTACTTTGTAGCATTCAGCAGCAGCTAGATGCCTGTGTAAGGCTCTCCAATAAACTCTGGCAAGTGACTCAATTTAGATTATGAGCACTCTATTTGGGAACCCTTAGGTATTTACTTAGGAAAATACAGCTGTAAAATCATGCATTAGGGACCTATAGGGATAAAAGTCTCCTGCTTGAAAAGGATCCTCAGATGCCATTAGCGCTTGGCAAGTCTTATTTTAAGTGTTAAGAGCTGCCTGTGGTCCATCATTTGATTGCTTGAGCATACAACAGCACTGTCAAAGGGGCCCACTTTTAGTCCCTTTTATGAGGAATGGCAAAATCAACCTAAGCCCCATGCTGACTAGCTTTATGTCAACTTGACACAAGCTAGTTGTCTGAAAGGAGGGTACCTCAACCAAGAAAACACCTCTATTAGATTTAACTGTAGGGAATTTTAATCAGTAATTAATTGGAGAAGGCTCAGCTCACTGGGGATGGGTCCGCCCCTGGGCTGGTGGTCCTGGGTTCTATAAGAAAGCAGACTGAGCAAGCCATGGGGAGCAAGCCAGTAAGCAGCACCCTTCCATGGTCTCTGCATTGGCTCCTGCCTCCAGGTTCTAGCCCAGCCTGAGTTCCTGTCCTGACTTTCTTCAATGATGGACTACAATGTGGAAATGTAAGCCAAACCCTTTTCTCCCTAACTTGCTTTTGGTTATGGTGTTTCAACACAGCAACTGAAACCCTGACTAGGACAGCCCCATTCATCATTTTCTGGAAATCCAAACCCTTCCTCTAATTTCTGGCTACACAGCCGTATGCAGAGGTCACGTACAGTCTCATGAATGCTTTCTTCCTGTGATGAGATCTTCAGGCAATGAAAAAGCGAAAATCCCCACAGAAAAGTCTTGGAAAGACTTGAGATGACAGAGTGGCACCAAGTGACACAAACACTGGCAAACAAAGAAGCTTCCTGCTCATAAATACTCCTCATATCCTTCACTTGCGTCTCTTCTTCCTGCCTCCCCAGTCTTGAGTTTCTACTGCCTTATTTTCAATTATGTTCCATCTTGTTTGATTCTTACTGAGTGTCAAGTATTCTTGTCATGCCTGTTTAGGAAAATAACCCTAGTTGCAGGGGAAGAGCCTTAGCTCTTCGGAAGACATTGGCACCTATGAATTGACCCTCAGGCCCTTAGCGTCCAGCCTTCAACGTATCCATGTGGCCCAGGATCTTTGCCTTGAAAAACACCTGTGACTGGAATGTAGGATTTAGTAAGAGATGATGAGTTACCTGTCATCTTTCGAGTGACAGCCATCCCCTGAAGATGCTTTCAGACAACTAGCTTGTGTCAAGTTGGCATAAAGCTAGTCAGCATGGGGCTTAGGTTGATTTTGCCATTTCTCATATATATGTTCATTAAATATTCACTAAGGATGAACCAACAAAAAGCAAGTTAGGTTGGGTCGTGGGAAAAGATGAAAACTTGTGTGAGGAGAAAGAGCTCTTTTTAGGAGGGATAGTATGAAAAGTGACAGATGCGTAGCTGTAGGTGGTTGGAGGGTCAGAAAGGGGTTTGCTTGTGCAATGACTCCCATTTGCTCAGTAAAATCAGAAACAAAGTTCTTTGCTAAACAGGGGCAGGGTTGGGAGGTGCCTCTGCCATATGGTTGGGAGTGATCTTTTCCAACATATCACTCACCTTTGTGGAAGATCAGAGGAGAAATTGGGTAGTGTGGATCCTAGCCTGTGGTTTTGTGAACATAACAGAAACATATGGAGATAAAAAATTCAAGTGACAGAATAAGAGGGAGCAATAGGGCTCTTAAGTATTCCATGCTGTAAGGGCACATTTGTGGTTCACAGCTTAGCATGAGCATACTGTAATGGGTTTGTTTTTTCTGCACTGCTCCCTGGCCCCAGATCTACATGGTCTTAGAGGAGTACAAGGCTGACACTAGCAGACAGTACACTCAGCCTGGATGTTGAGAGGATGAGAGAAAGGACAGGAGGTGAGGGAAGGGGAATCAACACAACAAAGGACCTGACCAGTCGGGAGATCAGCTCTGAAATGATCAACTGCCTTTATGTTCAGCTCTCCCTATAACATCTACTGCCTTGGGGAAAGAGATGCAGTTCTTTTAATGTCTTAATCCACTTCCTTCGAAAGACTACCAGCACTCTGAGTCAAACACAACTTTCAAGATTCAGTTTTTTGTCTGTTCCATTGGTGTTTGTAGTGACAGTACAAACCCAATACTTCCATTAAATAGAAATAGAGCCATGTACTAGCTAAGGGGAGGTAGAAAACAGGGCACTTCAAAGTGGATATGGATAAATTGGAGGTATTAGGAGTAAAATTCACACAAAATCAAGATGCCAACTAAGGGCACATTGTTCGTGTTTGAGCTATTATTCGGAAAGAAGCTTTCAATCCTAATGTGAGCAGAGCAGGGTGGTGCCAAGTATTTCAGGGTCCGCCTGGGACAAATGAATGATAGATACCATAATACCTCCTAGGATAGGAGCTACATGAATTGTTTCTGTGGTCTGATTAAAAAAAATAAAAAAAAGCACTGGCACTGAGGGTGAGGAATCCTGAAGCTAGAATATCTGATTGAAGATCCACAGGGACAGTTTGGCATTTCCATTGTGGCCAGCTAGGGAACTGAGGAAGGCTAAGAGCCACAGGCTTTTTGAGAAAGAGTGACCTCCAGGAGGCTGGAATGTGGTGTAACAAAGTTGTGGCAAAGATATTTCACTACACATAATTTTAGTTCTAACATTGATGTCAATACTTACTTATAATAAACACCACAAATCATTCATGTTATAAAAGAATCAGTCCTTGATCTAGAATGGTTAGAGAGATACTGACAACCAGGAGACAAGAAATGTGAATGTGACCTCAGTGTTTGCCTTTGATGGTTCGAAATGAACAAGATATGATACTAAAGCCTCTAGTGCAGATTTTGTGTGTGCTGATTTGCACGTGTGTATGCCGGACAGTTGTGGAGGTTAGAAGACACCTTCAGGAGCTGGTCCTCACCTCCTAACTTGAGACAGGATCTCTTGTTTGCTGTTGAATACATCAGGATAGCTGACCCATGACCAAGTTTTCTTCCTGTTTTAAAAATTTGCAGTGGTGATAGGATAAATCTCAGATAATAGATATGCTGTGTGGAACAATGTAAAGCTTCAGCAGCATGTTCTCTTTCTAGAAGACACACTGTCCTTCTAGGGAAAGGGACAATCAATGCCTCTAATGTGGCACCGTGTCTACCTTTATTTTATAAAATTTAGCCTTTACAAAGAACTGAATATCCATCTAAAGAGATCCAGCCATCAATAACCAGGAAAATTGTGTTTGCTTTTCTTTCTGTCTGACTGGGAAATTGTCTTTCTTTCTTTTTTTTTTCTTTTTTGGTTTTTTGAGACAGGGTTTCTCTGTGGCTTTGGAGGCTGTCCTGAACCAGCTCTTGTAGGCTAGGCTGGTCTCGAACTCACAGAGATCTGTCTGCCTCTGCTTCCTGAGAGCTGGGATTAAAGGTGTGAGCCACCACCACCCGGCTCTGGGAAATTTTTTTAAGCTACATTATCATGGGCTAACTGAAAAAAAAAAAAAAGATGAACACTGTTATTTTCATGTATTTATAGGTGTCTGGAACAAAGCCTGAGAAAGGAACTATTCTTTAAAAAGAAGACATCCTAAGATGATAGGCAAGGTTTACACTTCCCAAGCAGCAAGGGTTAAACTGCAGACCACTGATACCAGCATCACTTAAATGAGCAAATAGTAAGTTCACATTAAATGTCAGAGTCTAATTTAAAAACAAAAAGCCTCTCATGATGAACTAGAAATCATCTAGTCATTTATTTTTGTTACATACCAGAGATATAATGAACACATTAAAAAGAAAAGATTTTTTTTTTTAAATCAACATATTTTTATTGTGTTTCTACTTCTGGACTCCTCCATTCAGAAAATAGAAACTGCCTTTTCATTAAGCTGTGACTCCTTTCCTTTTAACCTAAGCTTAGTTTAAGGAAAACTTCATTTATACAATTATGTAATTAACTTTAACCTATCTATAGCATTAAATTACTCAAAGCTTCAATACAGTAGCTAACTTTTTGAAAATGATTTTTTTTACCCAACCTACTTTGCAAAGTAAAAAAATGTTATGTGCTATCAACATCCACCTTCTTTGAAAATTTCTCTACGCAAGTATCAAAACATATTTCTCTTTCAATTTTCATTTTCTATTTTTGGGTATGCATTAGAAAAGTAAAAATTACATATAAACATTGTCAACTATTGTATTTCTAAAGTCAAGACAATTGATTATCACCTAAGCATTTAATTTCTGCAATGACTAATTTTTAAAACTCAAAACTGCTAGCCATGTAATTTAAAAACTGCACTGTGAAAAGCCTATTTATGGGCAGCAACAACATAAAGGCTATAATGAGTGTATAGAACATGCAAAGCATAAAATGGCATGGCTCCATAAATACAAAAACAGCTGCATTCTATCTGACTCCAAATGCAGACTTACATTATCTGTAAATCTGACTCAAGTCTCAAAGCACAGCCAGATGACTAGGACATGGGGCCTGAAGCAGATGTGTGGGAACTAGGGGCACACTTCGGCCCATGATGTTCACCTCGCAGAACCGCTGACGCAAAACACATGCACCAGAAACAGATGGAAAGGCAGTCTCAATAGTGTATACTGCTGTACCCCTAAGTTCAATTACATCTAGAAGAACAAAGTGTTAACATTTAAGATAACTCAACATCTTTGGTTTTCAAAGAAATATAATACCTTAAAAATTAAAAATACATCAATCTGCTTTAACAAGTCATACTCATGCTAAAAGAAGTTTTACTTAACAGCCGAAGGTCAAGATCCCAAGTATGTAGAACTATCTTCAGAAAACTTGGAATGTAACATGCTTAGTTCAGCTTAGATATCATCAATGTCTTCATCATCATCTCCAATATCATCAAACTGGATTTCATCATCATCCCCTGGACCAAATGTGTCCGTTTCATTGATTTTAGCATGTTCTGGAAGTTCTCCATATGCCTTCAGACTTCTCGCTTCATCTGCATTATACTTCAAGATTACATCAGCTTTGTTATCTTGATAGTCTCGCAGACCAATCAATATAATGTCTGATGTATTTATCCAAACCTTTTTTCTCAACTTTCCTCTGATGTGACATAGCCTTCTCACACCATCGAAACACATTGCTTCCAACCGTCCATTTCCCAGCATTTTGATCACCTGCGCATACTCTTGGCCATCTTCTTTAAACACCAACTCTCTTTTTTCAGATTCATTTTCATTTTTGCCTCTGCGCCTGTTTTTGCCTCCTTTACCTTTATTCTTCGGCATGATGGAAAGGGCAACCACAGGAGTTGGGGTGGGAGACGGTTTGGCTGTTGTTGGCTGTAACTCCTTCCCAAGAGCTACTACTAGGATGGGTGGCAGGAAGTATCTAACAGTGGTAGATCTGAAGTAACTGTGTAGCTGCTGGAGATTTCTGGTAAACGGTAAGTATAGAAGATCCACAGGCAGCAAACAGTGTTCGAGAGTCCTGGCTTCCGCTACCTGCAAAAACAAAAGTATTTTTAGTAAAAGTTACATGTAAATATTAAGTCACTGTGGAGAACAGGCAGGCCAGGCCAGTTCTGGGTTGCACTATGTTGTTTGGAATATTGACTTCCAACCTCTGCCCAGCCATGGCTTGCTCTGTCTAATGAAGCAACAGCCTTGACCTGAGCTACTCCATTTTCGGTGTAAGTGCCATGAAAGAATGGCTCCACATCTTGTTTACACAAGTAAACACTATCATCTGCTAGCACATCAGAAGACACAAACCGTTATTTTGTGCCAATAAATAACAAAATCTATCAGAGTTCAAGACACATGAGCTTACCAAGCACAAAGATGGAACTCCTCTTACCTGGGACTAAACTAGAAGGTGCACCCAGAAGCCAAATGCAGCAGCATGATAACTAATCCCTTGGTCACCTGTCACAAGCTTGTCTATGACTCCTACTTCTGTGCTAGGCCTCCAGCTCCAGCACAGCTTCTCCTAGCCAACATTCAACCACACATTCAACCACTTCAAACTGCCTCCTGAATGGCCTGCCTCCCAGAGCTGAATCTGATGTCCTCGCACTGTGGTCTGGTCCCCTTCCCTGTTCCTGCAGTAGCTCTATCTTCAGTGCAGCCCCTCTACAATACGAACACAGACAGCCTCTTTGACCCTTTCTTAACAAAGATTCCGAAACCCACTCATAGAGTGAGGCACAAGTGTGTGATCTGGGAGTTAATATTAGTAATTAAGGTTGGAATAAAAGAAACTGGAATTATCAGTGATCACTATCAAGCAAATCTGGATTTCTTACATCAAATAAAATTAATGTGGGCTTATGAATTTATTGTATTCAATAAATTCTGACATTGTATAATGACATAAACATGTCCATCTCTGCTCCTGACAAAACACCCAGAACAGATAAGATACTTTTGACAGTTTAGTTTATTAAAAATTTAAATATTGTCCATTTGCTAAATTTATGCTTTTGTTTCAAATTTGAATTACTTTTATATGTTTGTGTACATGTATTCGTGTGTTAGAGGTGACACATGTACACACAAACATGTTCATGTGAGGCCAGAGGTCACCACTGGATATCTTCCTCAATCACTCTCCATCTTGTTTTTTGAGGCAGGGTTTCTCACTGAATCTGAAGCTCAGCTATTCAGGATGTCCCCAGAGATCCTCTTCTATCTACTCCCCAGTGCTAGGCATGCTGGGAGACTAAGCTCAGAGTGCTGGGGATGGAGCTCAAGCCTTTATGCTTGCATAGCAAGCACTTTCCCAACTGACCCATCTCCTGACTTTTCAGTTCTCTTTTCAGTTCTTTAGGAGACCCCAGACACAATGCCCCCCCCCCCCCCTTTTTTGAGCTTGGGTCTTGTTATATATAGCTAAGGCTTGCCTGGGGATCCTCCTGCCTCAATCTCATTAATACTAGTTTGTAAGTATGATAGAGTGTTCAAAATTCATTCTATTCTCCAAACTGATTTAAAACTGATCTAACACCATTTATCAAAAAAGAGTATTTGGGGCTGGAGAGATGGCTCAGAGGTTAAGAGCACTGACTGCTCTTCCAGGGGACCTGAGTTCAATTCCCAGCAACCATATGGTGGCTCACAACCATCTGTAATGAGATCTAGTGCCCCCTTCTGGCCTGCAGGCATACATGCAGACAGAACACTGTATACATAATAAATAAATCTTCAAAAAATTAAAAAAGGGTATTTGGAACATAGTTCTTCCAATAACTTGCAGTGGTATTCCTTTTTTACTGTTTCTGAACTAATTTTCCCCCATGTCAGTCTATTTGAATGTAGCTCTATGGCACATCTTGGATGTGTAGTCCGTATCTTCAGAATCTTGTTTTTTTTCTTCTGTGAGGTTGATTTGGCTAGTTTAGAACTCTGCAGCATTATATGCATTTTAAAATCAGATTGCCAATTTCCACAAACAGAAAACCTACTGAAATATAGACTGGAATTATATACCATCATCAGACCAATTGGATAGGATTAACATTTAATTGAACCTAAATGTCTTTAGATGTTATATTACTCCCTTTATGTAGATTTTAATGTTCTCATCTGCTTTTTTGGCAGAAACTATTTCTGGATTTTTTATTTTTTGAACTACCCCAAAAAATGTCATTTAAATATTTGTGTATTCTGATATTTACATAGAGATGTCCAGTACTTTTACTAAACTCAAAATTCCTATTGGTAGTGGGTTTGGGGGGGGTGAAGAAGTTTGGGTTTTACAAATAAAATCTATAGACAATAATTTTCTCACTGGTTTTTCAAGCTCTGTACTTATTTCTTCTTGCCAAAGAGATATTGGCGAATTTTCTGTCATCTGTTTTTAATTCCAAACAAGTTTTCTTGCTTTCTTTTTATGGTTTACAATTACTGAAAAACAAATTGTGTGTTACTAATTCCTAGGTATTTATTAAGTCTTACTTTATGGCCTAGTACATTTGTGAAAACACCACATTTCCTTTGTTACTAGCTTAATTCAACTGCTCATTTAAGGCATATATCACAATGTATAATAGCCTCCTATGAGCATGCTTTCATAGAATTATATCATCAATAGGCTCTTCCACTTTTTAGCAATCCAGATGCTTTATGGAGATGGAACACATGTGAGACTAGTGAAATCTGAGTGTGATACACTGGACCTTTCTTTGCTATTAAGAATACCTCCATTCTGTGATTCAGATCAGTTCCCCACTCATTTCCTCTAAGAGTCCTTATATTACCATAAGCAACCACATACATTTGAAGGTTAATTGGTGCCACAATCCTTGCACCTCTGTAGTTAAATCCTAAGCATAGTGCTCGGCAATACTGTCCTGCAGCTACAGGAATGAAATATATTTATAGCCATGGCTGTTCATGAAGTCTGGCTGTTTCATATCTCCTTTTCTCTACTTATACTCTCTAGGGTACCATCAGAATAACCCACATGAGACGACATTTTAAAAAGCATTATCACTGCAGCAATCAAGTTCCACAGCTACTTGATTTCTTAATAACTTGTCATTCCAGGTCATCAGTAGTGACAGTTGAGCAACAGTACCCATTTTTCCCTGTATTCCTCAAATATTGCAAAACACAATCTAGGGTTTGATGCTGTTTCAAAGATTCTGCTTTGATTTCTGAGGCTAGTCAAAGTATCAAATCCCTGTGCCAATCAGAGGTTCACTGGGGGAAAAGACTGTAGTCAAGTTGAGTAATTTAAAGAGAAGGAATATTTATAAACATGCAAGAGCAAGCCACACCATAAAGAATAGTGCAATGCTCTGTCAGGTGTTGGTGACACACGCCTTTAATCCCAGCACTTGGGAAGCAGAGACAGGTGGGGGTTTGATGCCAGCCCAGTCTACAGAGTGAGTTCCAGGACAGCTAAGAGAACAGTGCAATTCTCTAGGACTATAAGCCATAGTTTTGTATTTAGTGAAAGCGAGAACTGGTGCAAGGTTAAAATGTGTGGGCAAGAAACCCTGATGCCCTTGCTGACACTTCTGTTTTTTGGCGTGACTGCCTGAAACCATGAGGTTTCAATCCCAGCTTCTCAATTCTGGGCTCTCTGTGGATTTGTAAGTGTATACTGATGCCAGTACCACATGCTGTGAAAATTTCCACAGTACATTTGAAAATTATGAGGTATGACACTAAACTTTATTCTCTGAGGGCGTTTTTTTCTTTTTTTTCCCCGCTGTTTGAAGTCTTTCCATATCCATATGATCAATCATCTGTTAATTTCTACAAAGGTAACTGAAATTTTGGTAGTAATGCACTTGATTAGCACAAAGCTAATGATTTAATCATTTTCATATATACATGATATGTAGTCGTCAAGGCCCCACACATACGAGGTTATGTCTAACATTATTCACGTCATTATTTGTGACATTATGAATAAAATTTCTTAGTAACACTGTTGGAAAGTGACTACAATGGAAAACCAACTTTCGTGTGTTCATTTCCCAATTTTTTCATGGTATCATGCTATTTTTAATAAAAGCATTTTTAACAAAAAATGTTTTGGTGGTGTAGTACTTTCTTACATATTCTCTTCTTTTAACAAAGGGTGTGTACATTAGGAATATAAACTTATTGTCTCTGACTTCTGTCACAGCACCCTGTACATTGTCCCTATTATCACATGCCTGGATGTCTGCTTTATGTTATGAGAACTCTCTTCTCTGCACCAGTGTATGTGCCCTGGAACAGAAATATTTGTTTCCCATGTGTCCACTTGGAAATGAGAAGGGCTGTGATATTGGAACACAGAACTATGTTTTATCTTTGACCCTCAGCATTCAGAACATTTGCTTGTGCAGTTCATCCCAACTAGTGGGGAGGAACCTAAGGGGCAAAGACCAGAGTCTTATTCAACTTGTGAAACTGATAGCCCTAGCCACGTTCTTCCAGGACCCAAGAAGAGTCTAGCCAACAAATCCTGAGAAAACAAGGACATCATACTGTTCACAGCAACAACACTGAGGGGCCAGAAAATAGGGAAAGATGCCCAACCTAAATATTGATCAAAGAGATGCAAGTGTATTAAGAGAATTCTTTCAACCTATATAATTAGCTTAAGTTAAGTCAGTAAGACCCAGTTTGAGTTAGGGAAGCTGGCTTTCCTTGATCAGTTCTGCTGGAAATGGAACTTGGTGGGTATGAAGACACAAAATGTGAACATGCTTGGATACTACAATTCTGCATTTGGTATTAAAAGTACAGTAAGTAACATAGAGTCAGTGTCCATGGACCACTTGCCTTCCTCTTCCAGTGTGCTAAGTCTGTAATGCCCTGACTGCCCTTTCCTGGCTTTGTCTCAGTTATTTTTTGAGCTGCTAAATTTGAGAGCTAAGGTGTCATCTTCAGACCAAGAGCAGGCTTACTTCAAACTTACAGGAAAAGCAGCTGCCCACTGAATGGACAACTCACCTTGGATGCAACACAAACCCAATCTGTGCACAGCAGCCAACTAAGCC